TTTTCGAGGTGTTAAAAATCTGTATGGGGGAAAGACAGGGTAGGGGTAGGCATGGGAAAGGTGGAGGAAGGGGGTTTTGTGTGCTAGGGGCTTGGACTTCCAGCATGCGTGAGCGTGCTAGATAGAAGCGAATGGAGACAAATGGTTTTTAGGACAAACGCGTGCTGCTGGACTGTGAGCAAGGTAACATTTATGAAGGATTCAGGGAAACTGGTAGGCCGGACTTGAGTCCTGGAAAATGGAAAGTACAGTGCCTGCACTCTGGATGAGAGGTGTTAATGTTGCAGTTTTTATAACTGTAGTGTAAAAGCGCCTCTGGAAAGACAGTGATGGGGTGAATAATGATGAAAGATTTTCTTTTTCGGGGCCACCCTGCCTTGGTGGGAAACGGCCGATGTGTTAATAATATATATATATATATATATATATATATTTTATATAATATATATATATATATATATATATATATATATATATATATATATATATAAATATAATATATATAAAATATATATAAATATATATATATATATTATATATAGCAACGTTCATCTTGCCATATAGGACAAGCGAAAATTTGTGTATGCAATAATTTCGCAAAAATCATTCTGAACCTAACGAAAAAAAATATTTTTTCATTGTGTTTATTTATTAAATTATTGTAAACTTATCTAAAATATATTTAGTTGGATTAAGTTCAGTTAAATTACGCTTGTTATAATAAGGTTAGGTAAGTTTTCTAAGGTTCTTTTGGTACAAAATTAATAATTTTTTACAATAACATAAATGACAAAATATATATCTTTAAACGTATAAGATAAAATTTAGAAAGGACTTAATTTTAAAAGAGATCATGCTAATTGACCAATTTTACCTATTCGGCACGACATATATATTTTCAAAACGATACCGGTTCCTTAACCTGATAAGAAATATGAACTAGCCCCATCACGTAACCTAGTTCCCTCTCTCTTTCCCTTCCTCTCTCATTCTTTCCTTCCCATCTTTACTCACGTCTTCTCGTTCCCACCCTCTTTATTCCCTCCCCATTCCACCCTCCTCCCATCTGACCTCATTCTCTCTCCCCTACCCCCCCACCCCTCCTCCACCTCACCCCCCCACCTCTCAGACATAAACATACAAGGTCACCAGCACACTGTTTTGTGGTAGTAATGTTTCCATCTTGGTTCCCACACTGTGTTGTTACTACCATGGTACCCACACTGTGTTGTTACTACCATGGTACCACACACTGTGTTGTTACTACCATGGACCCACACTGTGTTTGTTACTACCATGGTACCCACACTGTGTTGTTACTACCATGGTTCCCACACTGTGTTGTTACTACCATGGTACCCACACTGTGTTGTTACTACCATGGTTCCCACACTGTGTTGTTACTACCATGGTTCCCACACTGTGTTGTTACTAAACCCTGGTTCCCACACT